TTACAAATTTTAATGAATGTTTACAGATATTTTGGGTTTTCATTCATTCATTGTTGCACTATATTCTCTACCCTGCTCCCCAGTTCGTTCTTCTTCCCCCCCCCAAAAGTCTGTGGAGTTTTTTTGGGTTTTTTTCAGTTTAATGTAGTTTTTATTTTTTTTTAATTTAGGTTGTTTGTTTTTCATTTCAATGAACATCTACAGAGATTTTGGAATTTCATTCATTCATTGTTGCACCCTTCTCCCCACACAAACCCCCCCCCCCCCCCGTTTGCTCCTCTCCTTGAAAAGCAAAAGAAAAACTCCCTCATTGGTACACAATGCTCCTGTACCTCCCCAAACCCCACGCCCTACCCCCAAATATAATCCACTCTGCAATCCTCATTGTGTACTCCTACGATAAAAATAATGCCCTAAAATATAATACTTTTAGACTAAGTCTGTTTTAATTGTCCAATTGCCACAGTGTTTGTCAAAGCCAGTTTTGATTTATCTTCTTTGTCAGTGTGTCCTTTGCCATTCCCTATCACTCCTCCCTGAGAGAGACTTCACCCTGATTCATAAGGAAAAGGGGATGGCGTATTCTTTTAGCTACTTCCTGCTGAAAAGGGATGCTGTTGGTTTCAGGGTGAAGATCTTCTCTCACTACTCTAAAGGGCCCCTTTGGCAATAGGAAACACATAGACTATTATGGAGATTGATTTTGGAATTTAGATGCACTGTTATCAGTTGTGTTAAGCCGTACATGTTCATATCCTTGAAGATGTATCAAGGAAGTGTTGCAGTCTAGAAGACACCAATTTAACTAACAAGTTAAAAGTACATGAGTCAAAAATTAAAAAAGCAATAATATTCCGAGTAGAGGTTCTAATAGTGGCACAAATCAAGTTACAGAGGGAAGGTGGTTCTTACAATAAAAGACCTATAGACTAGCACTTTGTCTATTATAGTGTAGAGGTTAGGAACCACAAGATGTAGAGGCTCAGTTATGTCATTTACAGTTCTTAAGTCCTGGAGCAAATTCCATCTACCACTGTATTGTTTTACAGCTAGGAAGTCCGCATGCAAGGCAGAGGTGAAGTAAGGAACTGCTTATGAGGTTTCCCATCAATTCCAACAACTAAGAAACAGTGAGAAGAGTTGGGACCTCAGAAGGCTTTTAGGACCAAATAGTAGGCCCTTGTGTCCAGGAGAAAACGAATATACTTACCAGTAATGTTAATGCTCACCCACAGCTCTTCTGGGAGGATCTAAATCATTGAAGCGTCCTCCTTTGTTTCCAGCTGGGAGCTGGGGCCTGTCAGTCCTGTCAGACCTGATGTGGGCCACTCTTGGTCAAGTGTCCTTCAAGATCCACACTTAAAGCAAGTGAGTGGGAGCTTTCTTTCTACTCCCTTGCCTATTTGTGACTCTCGTCTGTGACACTGTGTACATCTGGGACTGCATCTGTAGTTGTGAGGTTTTTAATTTTGTTGATTTTCATTCTTTTGTATTTAAATATGTAGTTGTTGTTGTTGTTATGTCACATCATCTATTATGCCAGAAATGAAAAGATGAGAAAAAAAGAATTGCAGTCAGAGTTTAAAAGACCTTCTTGAAATCTAGATCCATCTTGAAATACAATGATCTAAGCTACAGGATAATATCCATGTACGTACAAGGAAAACCTGCTAATACTACTAGTCATTCAAATACCCACCAACAACTAGAGCCAGATAGAAGGAAACAGAAGATTTTTACCAACTTCGCCATTGGAAATCAATGGAACATGCAGCCAAGATGCATTAGTAATAATGGACCACTGGAATTGCACAAGGAAGAAGGATGAGCAGAAAACATGCATTTGGTGACAGAAATGAGTTTGTAGGCAGATTGATAGAATTTTGTACAAATCAATGCTTTAGTCACTACAAACACCTTTTATAAGAAACACAAACAGTGACTATACATGTGGATTTCACCTGATGCTTTACACAGGAATCAGATTGCTTACATCTGTGAAAAGAATTGGTGGAGAAGCTCAACATCAATTGTGAAAAGTAGTCCAGGTGCTTACTGTGGAACAGACCGTGATCTACTCATATGCAAGTTCAAACCGAAACTGAAGAAAATGGTGAATATTCATTAATGTTAATAAAAAAAATCATTATCTAGTTTCTCATAATTTTTTCTTTATTTTAGTGAAGGTTCACAAAGAGACTGGTTTTCATTCGTGCATGCACATTTCTTCCCTCCCCCCCCCTTGAATTCCCTTTTTTGTGCTTGTCCTAACCGATATCAGCTGATTTGTGTTAACTTAACCACCACTTAGTTTATCATCAGCCAGTTGTGGGGTTTTTTACCACCCAACACTCTTGAGGTAACCCGAGTAGTGATGGGAGAGGAAAATAGAGACCATTAAGGGGTGTAGAAGGCATTGTAACATAGTTTTATGTGTAATGTTTGGTTATACAGGGTATAAAGACAGCATGGTAAAAAAACTTCAGTGTCAAGATTTCAAAAAGGAACATACTAAATAGAAAAGGTACGTGTCTCCGTCATTTTCTAAATTTAGTCTCAAATTGGTCTCAGTTTATTAATTGGATTGTAAGAAAGATTAAAATAGGTGATATAAAAATCCTTTATAGTCCAAAAATCTATGGCATGATCGGTGTCATAGTGTGCTGGATAATTAAACATCTAATTTCAAGTTCACTACAGTTGAAATGTTAGCCAGTGTTGAAATTTGTCATTAAATTGACCAAATAACGAATTCTCATTCCATGTGTACCTATTTAAGTCATCCTGGAAGGGGGTGTGTGTTGAAGCATAGCAGAGTGAGGAATAGTGTAAGCTCTGGAGAAACTCTGACTGGGTTTTCATTCCACCTTCACCATTTACCGTTTCTGTAATCTTGAGCAAGTCAATGAACCTCTTTTGCCTTAATTCACAGTTTATAAAATTGAAACACTAATAGTGTTTACCTTGAGTTTTTTCCTGCGTGTATTTTTACATGTAAAGTTTCTGGAAGCCAATAAAATTCAGAAAATGACAGTTACTATTACTGCTCTTGAGTATTTTATTAGGGGTTTTTGATCACATGGCATAATCTGAGTCTTTGACATTTAATAATAATGATAGTCTTTATTAAATATTACAACTTATGAATACTCAATTTTGACAAGGAACATTTATATATAAATTGAGTATCCTTTTTCAGTTGTTTAAATCTCACTTCTTGATCTTGTCCTTGGTCCTGATAATGAATGTGGGGTGTTTTTTCATTGATAATAATCATGACTGCCTCATGTATCTGCATCTCAGGATTGGAGGAAGACTCACCAACAATTTGCGTTATAGTGATGACACGAATGTGCTTTCTGAAAGTGAGAATGAAATGAAGCATCTGCTGCAGAAGATTTAGGACCAGAATCTTTGGTACGGATTCCATCTCAACATCAAGAAGATAAAGATCCTCCCCACAGGCCCAACACTCAAGATTATGTTAGGTGGAGAAAAAATTGAAGCTGTCAATGAGTATGTCTTGCTTGGATCAGCAATCAACAGCCTTGTTACCAGGAGTCAGGACATCGAGAGATATATTGCTTTGGGCCAGTCTGCTGAGAGTGCTCCAAAATACTACAGAGCAATGATGTCAGTTTGAAAATTAAGGTGTGCCTGATTCAGGCCAAGGTCTTCTCAATTACCTGTTATGCATCAAAGAGCTGGACAATGAATAAGGATGATAGAAGATGAATAGATTGGATTGTGGAGCTGGACACAAGTACTGAATATCCCATGAACTACTAAAAGAACAAGCAGATATGTCCTTGAAAGGATTCAGCGTGAGTGATCCTTGAAGACAAAGATGACAAACCTTTATCTTTCCTAAATACCAACATGTAGCTAGGTGAGGCTGTTCCTTTGAAAGGGCCATCAAGCTTAGAAAGTTGGAGGACCCGTGAAGGAGAGGAAGACCCCAAACGAGATGGATCAACACTTTGACTTCAACAATGGGCTCTACTGTCTCAGAGATGAAGAGGGGGTCACAGGGATAGGGCTGGTTTTAGGTTGGCTGTTCATTGGATTGCTATAAATCATACTTGATTTGATGGCACCTAATAACAACAACAACCACCACCAAACACAATTGTCATCTCCCATCCAAACATACTGAAGGGCAAATATATTGTCTCCAGGAAAATAACTAATTTTTAAGTTTTATTTTTAAATCTCCTTAAGGAATTTATTGAAAACATGCCAGGATTTCAAATACTGAATTTTGTACAAAGTAAATATAAAATGGAATATTATTTTTGTACATTTTCAAGGAGTTCTCATGGCCTTGTCTCTTGTTGATGGTTTGAATCCCCCAGTTGCTCTGTGGAAGACAGATGGACCTTTCATCTTCTGACGTTTAAAGCCTCCAAATTTCTTGGGATACTTTATTGCATTTTAGGTGAAAAGTTATACAGCAATTAAGTGTCCATTTAATAAATCATAGGTGAACAATTTTGTGACATTGATTATAGTCCCTACAACATTGTCCTTATTTCCAAACTGAGTTTCCATTAAAATATTTGAATGATGTCCTTGTCTCAAAATTTATTCTGGATATTAGTTATTCTCCTCCCTGACCCCATTAATCTAGGAGATTTGGTGGCCTACTGGTAAGAAGCTGTGCTGCAACCAAAGGTACATAGTTCGAAACTGCTCTGAAGGTGAAAGATAGGCAACTTCCTCTCATGTAATTAACTGTCTCTGAAAAACCACTAAAAAGAATTTGCCTAAGTCTTATTTCTATATATATGCTGGGGGGTGGGGGGGAATGTGGGGGGGATCACTTGAGCTCAGATTTAATTTTACTTATAATCAGGAACATGCTTATGCCTTTTATTCAACTACTTGAAATTCCCAGTTAGATTACTCCTAACCACAAAGGATAATTTCTTCTAATTCAGATAACTTTTCATTAAGAAAGAGAAAAAATTCTAGAAAATCCATTGAAGTGACCAAACCGATCAAGCTGCTTTAGAATTACAAATTGCACATTCAATACACGCACACATTCTTAATTTAGCTGTAGTGAACTTTGAACCCCAGAGCTTTCTCATGGCATTTTTCATCTCAGAATTTCTCAGAGTGTATATTAGAGGGTTCAGCAAGGGAGTAATAATTGTATAAAGCACAGTCACAGATTTGTCAATGGGAAAATTGGAAACGGGTCTAGCATACATGGAAATACAGGGCACAAAAAAGAGGACAACCACGGTGATGTGAGAGCTGCAAGTGGACAGAGCTTTGCGCCTCCCTTCCTTGCTGTGAGTCTTCAGGGAGTTTAGGATGACACCATAAGAGAGGACTAGAAAGATAAAGACGACTGTGCAGATAGCGCCACCATTGGCAATCACAGTGATACCTATGAAGGAAGTGTCCGTGCAAGCAAGCTCCAGCAATGGATACATGTCACACATGAAGTGATCAATGACGTTGGAGCCACAGTAGGGAAGATGGTACACAGAGAGCAGTTGGACCAAAGAGTGCAAAAAACCTCCGGCCAAGGACACCAACAGCATCAGAACGCAAACCCTTCGGTTCATAATTATCAGGTAGTGCAGGGGTTTACAGATGGCCACATAGCGATCATAGGCCATGGCTACCAGAAGAAAGACCTCGGCCCCACCAAATAAATGCTGTATAAAGAGCTGGCTCATGCACAGGGAGAAGGAAATGGTCTTTTTTTCACAGAGGAAATCGATAATCATTTTAGGGGTAACGGTCGTGGAATAAATAGCGTCCATGAGTGACAGAAATGTGAGGAAGAAGTACATGGGGGAACCCAGAGAGGGGCTGCTAGTAACAGTTAGGGCAATGAGCAGGTTACCCACCATCGTCACACAGTAGATGATCAAAAACACAGCAAATAAAGCTTTTTGAGTTTCAGAATCCTGCGTGAGTCCCAGGAGAATAAATACCGTCACATTGTTGCTCTGGCCCATTTATTCTACTGGAAGTGATTTAGAGACGAAAGCTCAGGAGAACAAAACCTGTAATGAAATGATGAATATTACTATGACTGTGTCCTTTATACAAAAATCAAGATTCTCACCACTGGGCTCATAAGCAGCATCATGGTAGATGGTGAAGAGATTGAGATTGTTCACAGCTTTAATTTGCTCATCTGCACAACCAACCCTCTTGGTACCAGCAGCCAGGAAATTAAAAGATGTATTGCATTGAGGAGGGCTGCTGTCAGAGACCTCTCCAAAGTACTGAAGAGCAATGATGTCAGTCTAGAGACTAAGGTGCACCTGATCCAGGTCAGAGTCTTTGTCATTATTTGCTATCCATCAGAAAGTTGGACAACAAGTAGGAATGATAGAAGAGGAATTGATGCCTTTGATCTGTGGTTCTGGAGAAGAGTACCGAATATATCATATACTGCGAGAACAAACATGTGCATCCTAGATAGGGTAAAGCCAGGCTGCTCCTTAGAGAAGACATGTTGAAGAGGGCCATCATGCATGGGAGGATAGAGGGACAGAGCAGGAGAGGAAGACCCCAGATGAAATGGATTGAGTCAGTGACTGGGGTAATGGAGGGAGATGTGTCAGAGACAATAAGATTGACACAAGATAGAGCAGGGTTTAGGGCTGTTGTACGTATGGTCACTCTGAACTGCAGGCCACTCGATGACGCATACCAACAACATGTACTTTATGTCATGAAGCATTTCTTCACTATGAATTTATGACAGTGGCTAATTCATTATAAACATTCAGAAACAGTTTTTTTTTCTTCCAAAGAAACTGTTATATCTCTATTTGACAATGGTTTTTTTAGAGGCCTGAACTGGCCTTCGAATAAAAGGCTGTTTGTCTAAATCTTAGAGGGTCTTTTCTAGAGAAGAGTTCTCCCAGACTGATTTGTAATATATTAATAATACTTCTTTAAAAATTTGATAATGCTTGGCATAAAAGTCAACAGTGACATAAAAGAAAAACAATATCTGGGCTAAAGGAACTTATTCCCTGGTGGAGGAGATAGACTCTGAATAAATAAGTTAACAAAGTAATTATTTTCGTTGATAGTATTTATGACCAACGTAAAACAAAAAATGCTTCTTCAGTACGATCTCATTAAATACTACAATGTTTGACAAATGAAAGTTCAGTATTTCCTGCTATAAATTTGTTTCATCTCTATGACTGTATCTGTAAAGAGATTGGATTTTCAAATGTACCTGATAACTACACAAATAGTTCATCATTCTGTATAGTAATTATTCCAATACAAATTGTTTGCTAGCATCTTAAAGAGACATTTCCTCTCTGCCTATCCTATAAAACTCTTGATACTCCAATATTCCTTTGTATCGATAGTGTTTAATGGTGAATTCTGAACATTCCACAGATAGTCAAAAGAACAAACACTGTCTGTCTTGAAAGAAGTACATACAGCCAAGGTGCTCCTTAGAAGCAAGGATAGAGACACTTGGTCTCGTATACTTTCAGCACGTTGTCACCAGGGACTAGTTCTTGTAAAAAGAAGTCATGCTGGAAAAAGTGGAGGATCAATAATAGAAAGGAAGACTGACAACAAGAAGATAGATTGACACAGTGACTGTACCCATGGGCTCAAGGGTGTCAGAGAATTTAAGGATGATAATACAATTCCCAGAGATGTTGTTCATAGGGTCACAATGAGTCATAGTTGACTCTGTGGCATGGAACAACAATAGCGTTTTAAAAACCTCTTGATTTTAGAACTAACAACTTATCATTTGCAGATAACACAACTTTACTTGAAATAAAAGAGGGAGGGGCAACTCCTTCTGCTTCTTCTGTGTCAGTCAGATCCAATTAGATGCTACACAACAAGAAAAGAAAAAAAAATACATTACAACTCAACATGTTGTTGTTGTTATTAGGTGCCGTCGAGTTGTAGACAACTCATAATGGCCCTATGAACGAAAGGCCTGTGCACTGTTCATAGACTTTCTGGAGGCAAGGCATTTTGGAAGTGGATGCCACTCCTGCTTCCAGGCATAGAAAATATAAAATTCTCAGAACTGGACCAGTAAAACAGCATAAAAAAATGAAGAAAAGATTGAAATAATTGTCAATAATTTCATTTTACCTGCATCCACAATCACTTCCCGTAAGAGCAGTTTGTTGTTGTTGTTGTTGTTATGTGCCATCAAGTCGCTTGCAACTCATAGCGACCCTATGTATAGGAGCCCTAAATGCTGTTCTATCCTGTGCCAATCTCACCGTCTCAAATACACTCATTCCCAACACTCCACTCACAGAATCGATCCATTTCATAGAGGGTCTTCCTCTCCTGCGCTGTCCCTCCACTCTCCCAAATATGATGTCCCTCTCCAAGGACCAGTCCCTCCTTGCAACAAGCCCAAAGTATGTCAGACAAAGCTTCAGAATCCTTGACTCCAGGGAGCATTCTGGCTTCACCCTCTCCAGGACAAACCTGTTTGTTCTCCTAGCAGTCCATGGTATATTCAACACTCTTCTCCAGCACCACAGCTCAAAGACATCAATTCTGTTTCTACCATCCCTAGTCACTGTCCAACTCTCCTATGCATAGCACCTAATTGTGATGATTATAGCCCAGATCAGACCGTATTGCTATAATTAAACACACATTTCCATGCTAGGTACTGCCACTTTTAAAATGCTAGCTACTGATATGATCACTCATTACAGTGATTTTTTACTTAGTGTATTCCTATTTAAGATTTTTGTGACAAGGATAGGCCATCTCCTGTGGTGAGATTACTTGCTCTGAACCCTGCTGCAGGGTCAACTATGGGTTGGTTCTGATTTGAGGCACACAATAACAACAGCTTAACATCTGAGACATCCTTGCAGAGGGAACAAGAACAGTGGTAAATTACTCTGTAGGGGCCACACTGCCTTTATATGAATTCCAGCTTCATCATTAATTAATGATGTAAACTTGTGCAACTTAAATTCTTTGTACTTCAACTTTCATAACTTGTAAAATAAGAAGAGTAATATTATGTTTTATATGGGTGTTTATATTTTTTTCATGTAAAGTGCATACAACAAAGGATGTCACCTGATAAAGTATAAATGGTAGATATTATTAATGTTTTGATTATTTCACAATAAGCACTGAATCAGAAAAGAAAATAATTAGATAGTTGGAATTTACTAAGTATATTATGTATTAAAATAATGTTATATCTACAACTTATGGACATCCATGGTTAGACATTGTATAAAGTTATATTTTTTAAAAAACATTTATTTAATCTATATTTTCCTGTATGTTTAGTAATATTTTCCTATCATGGCATATACAATGACAAATAGAACAAAGGGGAAATAGTACTATGCACCAAAAGGAGATTTAAACAGTAATGCATGAAAGAAAACTCAAATAAGGAATCAGAGAAATTACATGTATTCGTATATTCATTCTTTTCATATATTCATTTCTTGAACATGGTTTTAAAAATTCTTTCTTTTCTAAGATGAATTTTGTGTATTTGTTATGTGGCTTTTAATGACTCCTGATTAAATTCAGAGTGCCTCATGAACTTGGTTTACTAATATTCTCATGAAAACAAATGCTTTTTAAGAAAATTCCCTTAGAATCCTTACTTATCACATTAATTTTAATGTTACTTTCGTATGCTCATTTCTTACATTTAATGTCTCTGATTCCTTGTTTGATATTTTTTTTTTCTACTTCATAGGGCTCTGGTATAACAACGGTTTCTCAGAGTTCCCAGCTATTTCATTAAGGAAAAAAAATAAGAAAGATTAGTCCATATCCTCTCAAATTGACTGTCTATTGAGTTCGTTTTGACCCACAGTGAACCACAATCAGGTTTCAAGGCTGTAAATAGGTAAGAGAGGGGACTGCGTGCTCCTCTACTGGAGCCATTGATGGGTTCCAAGCACCAGGAAAGGGAGGATTCTGGGTGAAGATAAGAGCTCTAGACTATGCCACTAGTTCCCTACCTAGGCCATATTTAGTTACACACAACTGACTATGTAGGATTGGATAAAATTTCTAAGTTATTTAACCTCAAATGTATTGTTGTTGTTGTGTACCATAGAGTCAGAACTGACCATAACTGACCTTCCTGTGGGTTTTCAGAGACAGTTAATTGCACAGGAGAAGATTGCCCATCTGTCTCCTGCTGATGGCCTCAAACTACTTAGGGTTGCAGTTTTTGGATTTTTTTATTTGTTTGATTGTGATGGCAAAGTGGATGCCTAAAATATAAAGACACTTAAAACAATGTCGTCAGTTCTAGTTCAAAGATAGTAAATAACTGACAAGCAGGAAAGGATAGAATTTATAGAATACTTGAACACTACAACAAAATAAAGGTAAACAACCCAAATAAAAAATGGGCACAGGATATAGACACTTCACTCAAGAAGACATTCAGATGGTAAACAAACACATGAAGAAATGTTCAAAATCCTAGTTCTAAGAGAGATGCAAATCAAAACAACTATGAAAATATGAGATATAATCTCACACCAGTAAGAGTGGCAAAATTCAACAGAGCAGCAACCAACTGGTAAGGTTATGGAGAAACTGGAAGTTTTATTCACTGTTGGTGGGAGTGTAAAATGGTACAACCAACCACTGTGAAAGGGATTATGGCGCTTTCTCAAAAAGTTGGAAATAGAAATACCATTTGACCCAGTAATTCCACTACTGGGAATATATCCTAAAGAAACCAAAACTGCCACCCAAGCAGATATATACATGCCTATGTTTATTTCTGCTTTAATTGCAATAGTAGAGTTGGAAACAATTCAAGTGCCCATCAACAAATGATAGAGAATCTGTGGTATATGCACATAATGAAATAGTATGCAGTATCAAAAATCAAGAAACTCATGAAATAGTAAACAAAATGTGTGACCTTGGAGGACATTATACTGAGTGAAAGATCTCAGTCACAAAATGACAAATACCGCATAATTCCTCT